TGAAAGAGTGAATAACTTGGAGGCAGCCTTGAACTCCAAAGCTGAAGAAGTTGTTGCTGATGAGGATAACTATGCCCGGTTGGAAGAGAATCATAGAGCATAATAAAGTTTTTAATTCCACTATCTGTGACCTTGATATCAGCCTCTAGGCCACTAAATCTGAGCGGGATAACCTTTTAACTGAGGTTGACCGTCTTAAGGAAGAACTTCAGAGCCGAGCGACTTACCTCATTGTTGAAAAAACATATTCTATGTATAGCATGAGGAGAAAAACCAAAGAAGCCAAAGCGGGCGTCATTGACTTTGATGCCGAAATCGTTAAGGCCCGTAAGGTGGAGTCAACTGCTCGATGGGGTATCGCGGTCCAACCTGATGCTACTGACTCTTTTGGTTCTGGCTTCGAGTTCGCGGGAATTAAAGAAGAACCTGAAGGGGATGATGGTGAAGGCCGAGATGGTGAAGGCCAAGATCTTGAGCTGATGGTAGATCCGCCTACTTCTCCTGCGAATGCTTCTCTTCATCCGAATTCTGGGAATGCAGCAGTTTAGCTTGTTTACCTTTTTGTTTTGTTTTTACTTTGCTTTTCTTTTCCATACTTGTACTTGTGCTGCTTGGCATGTTTGTTGTATATAGAAGTATTTGTTCCGTTTAAGTATTGGGCAAGTTTTTATTTTTGCATCGATTTATGCGAGGCTTTGGGTGCGTTTTCCTCGATAGCCTTTGGATTCCGGGCATAAGTTCTTGTGGAATCAACCTTTTACCGTGAGGGTTTCATAAGAGAAGGTCCTTTTATGTTTACGGTGCTCTTGAAGAGGACATCTCCTGTTTATTATGGCACTAGCATTTGAAGTACTTGTTTAACTTTCAAATGATAAAATTAATTCATTGATAGGACAAGAAACAAGATAGAAATAAAAGGACTTTACTTTATTCCTTCCATTTTCAAAAGTACATAAGCATTCGTTGCGCTAAAAAGAAATTGACATTACTTGTGGCTAACTCGTACAACTTATTTCTACGGGTTGCCTGCGCAGTCCCCGGTCCCAATGATAGAACTTTGTTTTCGAATCTCGTAGTCCTGGTCATTGTGGTAGTCATTGTTGCCGTGTTCTCATATCACTCCCCGAGTATTCGAATGCGAATTTGAACACCGGAAGTCTTTCTCCTTTGAAGATTCCACTAGTGAATGGTTGGATAATCTTTAGTTCAATAGCAAGTTTCATTTCCCCTTAGGAACTTTACTATAGAGCCAAAGATTATCTAACAATCCCCTAGAAGCTTACACTTGTGAACGGTTGGGTTACCTTTGGCCCGATAGTAAACTTTGTTTCCCAGTAGGAACTCTGCTATCGAGCAAAAGACTATCTAGCCGTCCCGTAGTCGTTCATTGCTTGCATGCCCCGTCATTTAAAAGTCTTATTTCCACTGACGAAGCTTCCTTCGTAGTATGCTTTCCATTGCTGCCTCATTAAAAACCTTGCCAGAAAAACCCAATTGGGACAAAAACTGGACGAAGGGAAAAAGAGTGCAGCACATACTTTCAGTATAGGCGACGCTCGTCAACAGTGGTACCTTTTGAGGTGTGCCACATTCCAGTTGCTCGGTAGCTTTACTCCGTCTTGATTTTCCAGTTCGTATGATCCTTTTTTGGTGACAACTGAAACCCGGTAGGGGACTTCCCACGCTGGTCATAGCTTTCCTGCATTGAGCTCCCGGGTGTTCTGAGTTACCTTCCTTAAAACCAAATCTCCCACTTTAAAATAACGGAGGTTGGCTCATTGATTATAATATCTTTCCCATCTCTGCTTTTGGGCTGCCATCTTTATATGCGCCAAGTCCCCGCGTTCGTCGAGTAATTCCAATTTGACTAACAATACTTTGTTATTTGTTTCTTCATCCGCCCGGAAATATCTCAAGGTAGGCTCCCCTACTTCCACCGGGATCAAAGCTTCTGCTCCATATTCAAGAGAGAAAGGAGTCTCCCTCGTGCTCTATTTGGCCGTTGTTCGATACGACCATAGTACTCTTGGTAGCGCTTCGGGCCATTTTCCTTTGGCTTCTTCTAATCCCTTTTTGAGATTTTGGATAATCACCTTGTTTGTCGATTCTGCATGCCGTTTGCGCTCGGGTGATAGGGTGATGATGTGATCCTTTTGATTTTCAAGTCCTCAAAGAATTTTGTGACCTTTGTACCTATAAATTATGGCTTGTGGTCGAAGGCTATCTCTTTTGGTATCCCGAATCTGCAAATTATATTCTCCCACAAGAAATCTACCACTTCGCGCTCTTCGATTTTCTGGTAAGGACCTGCTTCAACCCACTTGAAAAAATAGTCAGTTAAAATCAAAAGAAATCTACCTTTCTGGGGGACGGCGGTAGCAGACTGACTATATCCATTCCCCACTTCATGAATGGTCAGGGCGACAAAACCGAGTGTAATAGCTCTGCCGGTTGATGTACCAATAGTGCGTGGCATTGACATTTATCGTATTTCTGAACATAAGCCTTAGCGTCTTGTTCCATCCGGGGCCAGTAGTATCCTGCTCTAATTAGCTTTAATACTAAGGAGTCCGCGCCCGAATGATTTTTGTAGATCCCTTAGTGGACTTCTCTAATGACATAGTTAGCTTCAGAAGCTCCCAGACACCGGGCCAACGGGCCTTGGAAAGTTCTTCTATACAATTGACCTCCCTTGAAGTTGTATTGAGCTGCTTTAGTGCGCAGTGCCCGAGATGCCTTAGGATCTTCGGGCAATTTTCTGTGCTCGAGATAGTCAATGATCCCATTTCTCCAGTCCCAGACCAAGTTGGTTGCATTTACTTCGTAATAGCCGACTGCGTACAATACCGAATGCATAAGCTGCAAGACCGTGCCTGAATCCGTCCCTTTCATTTCCGTGGATGATCCCAGATTGGCTAGTGCGTCTGCCTCCGCGTTTCTTTCTCTTGGGACATGGGTAATTGACCATTCCCTAAACCGTACGACTAGAGCCTAGACTTTCAGTACATATTATTGCATGCGTTCCTCTTTGGCTTCGAAGATCTCGTAGACCTGATTTACTACCAATTGGGAATCACATTTGATTCTTATGACCTCAGAGTCCAGTCCCCGACCCGATTCGAGTCCTGCAAGCAAAGCTTCATAATCTGCTTCATTGTTAGTCAAAGGAATAGTTCTTATGGCCTGCCTTAGGGTTTCCCCCGAAGGCGTGATTAGCACTACGCCGAGCCTGGACCCTTTCACGTTGGATGCTCCGTCCGTAAACAAGGTCCAAACGCCTGATGTCGATTCTGACACCATCACTTCTTCTTTGGTATCCAAAGGTAACAATCTCGGACTGAAACCGACCACAAAGTCGGCCAAACCTTGTGACTTAATCGTAGTCCTAGGTTTATATTCTATGTCAAATTCACTCATTTCGACTGCCCACTAGGCCAGCCGACCTGAAATTTCAGGTTTATGAAGGATATTGCGCAGAGGAAAGGTTGTCACCACGACTATCAGATGACATTGGAAATAAGGCCTAAGCTTCTGAGCGGCGACCACGAAAGTTAAGGCCAATTTTCCAGATGCGGGTAGTGAGTTTCTGCCCCCGTTAAAATTTTACTAACATAATAGATAGGAGATTGCATACCTTCATTCTCACAGACTAAAATGGCACTTACTGCTACCTATGAGACCGCTAAGTAAATCAGTAGTTGTTCGCCTTCTTCCGATTTTGACACTAATGGAGGACTTGATAAATACCTTTTCAAATCCTTCAATGTCTGCTGGCATTCTGGAGTCCATTCGAAGTTGTTCTTCTTTTTTAGGAGTGAAAAGAAGTGATGAAATTTTTCTGAAGACCGGAAAATGAACCTGCTTAAAACGGTCAGTCTTCCTGTCAACCTTTGAACCTCTTTTACGCTTGATAGCTGGTCAGGGATGTCTCCAATGGCTTTAATTTTATCAGGATTAATTTCGATCCCCGTTTGCGACACCAGGTATCCCAAGAACTTATCGGAGCTGACTCTGAATGCACACTTCTCAGGGTTAAGCTTCATATTGTGCTTTCTTAGGATGTCAAAGGTTTCTTGCTGGTGCTTAAGATGATCACTTGCGTTCAATGACTTAACCAGCATATCATCTATGTAAACTTTCATGGTTTTCCCTATTTACTTTTCAAACATTTTGTTTACGAGCCGCTGATAAGTGGCTCCGACGTTTTTTTAGCCCGAAAGGCATCACATTATAGCAATATATGCTGAAGTTCATTATGAACTAAGTTTTTCCTGATCCTCTAGGTTCATTTTGATTTGGTTGTACCTAGAGTAAGCATCGAGAAAACTCATTAACTCGTGCCCGGCCGTTGCATCAATTATTTGATCAATGTTTGGCAATGGGAACAAGTCTTTTGGACACTCCTTATTTAGATCCTTATAGTCTACGCACATGCGAAATTTATTATTCTTCTTCAGAATTACTACTACGTTAGCTAGCCAGTCAGAATACTTTACCTCTCGGATTGAACGAATATCAAGCAAAGGAGTTACCTTTTCTTTGACGAATTTATTTCTTACCTCGGCGATAGGACATTTTTTCTATGTACCAGAGGGATGTTCGGATCCAGGCTTAGTTTGTGCACGGCCACTTCGGGCGGAATACTTGTCATATCCGCATGCGACCACGCAAAAAGTCAACATTAAATTTAAGAAATTCGATAAATTCAGACTTGAGCCTGGGGTTTAGTCCTGTTCCCAAGTGGAACTTCCTCTCCAAGAACTTTTCGAACAACGCAGCTTGCTCAAGTTCCTCCGTTGTGGACTTTGTTACGTCTGTTTCTTCTGTTACCTAGAAATATCTTGCTACCTGATAAGATTCCGACGACTCTTCCCCCTGGTTGGCTTTGCTTAGCTCGGGAGCAGGCGCTAGTTCCTGTAATTTCTATGTTGCATGCTCCTTCCCTTTGCTACAAGAAACTCAGATTGTGTTCATCTCCCTTGCTGCTGGTTGGTTACCCCTTATGTTGACAGCACAACCTTCATCTCGTGCAACCACGATATTCCTTGGATAATATTGTAGACCATATCGCCATCTACTACTTCAAAATGGGTCGTCTTCATTACCCCTTCGGCATTCATGGGCAGCATGATCTTTCCTCGGGTTCTCACGCTTTCCAGGTTGAACTCGGCGAGGAGTTTTGTGGCCGGAATGATACTTTCGGTCAGTTTGGCTTGCTCCAGTGCCCTCCACTTGATAATATTGGCCGAACTTCCTGGGTCCACCAAAACGTTTTTAATTTTAAAATCAAAAACATTAAGAGAGATTACCAAGGCATCGTTATACGGTAGAAGTAGTCCATCTGCGTCCTCCTCCGTGAAATTAATGTCGTCCTCAGCGACTTCTCGGAGTCTCTTACTGTGGGTAACGGACACCTTTGTTTTCTTTGCCACCGAAAATGTCACACCATTAATCTCTTTCCCCCCGAAAATCATGTTGATCGTCAGACAAGGAGGATCTTCCCCTATTTTCGCGGGTTCCGCGTTATCACTATTGCAGTCGTCGTTGATTTTAGTCCGATCGCTTAATAATTCTCTAAGATGGCCGTTTCTCAGCAATGTCGCCACCTCCTCGCGGAAATGCCTGCAGTCCCCAGTCCAGTGACCGTTGGTCCCATGGTATTCGTACTACAAATTAGGATTCCTTTGACTAGATTCGAATCTCATTGGTTTCGGGAACCGTGCTTCTTTAATGTTCCTCATAGCCGACACTAGTTCCATTATGCTGACATTGAAGTTGTATTCGGATAGCTTGGATAGGAAGAATCTCGAAAACCCGATACCTCCTTGTCCTGTAATGATCTATTATTTCGGCCGCGATCAGCTCTCCTGTTGGTAGAGAATCTATCCGCCGTACGGAAACCTATACCACATACTTCGGCCCTTTCATAGGGAAAAACTGACCTCTTGAAGAATGTTGATTTGTGTTAGAATCATCCTTTGATTTGTCCTTATTCTTCTCCCGGTCTCGACCCATGGTTGATGCCGAAAAATTGAATTGATCATCCTTAATCCTTATGTCACGACCCGAATTTTTCACTGTCGCGACCGTGATGGCGCCTAATATCGCACTCGCCAGGCAAGCCAATGTTAGAGTTCTATTCGCCTTTTTCCTTTACATTTTATAGTTTACAATAAACAAAACTAAATCAAATTGAAATAAATGCGAAAGTACATAATTAACCGATTATCCTCATACTATTAATAATACCGAAACGGTTACCACCCAGAAACTGGTGTCACAATCCACGAACATTCTATGAATATCTACAAGTATTGGTTTGAAAGAAAAGTACATCTGTCTCTAAAGAAAATAAAACAGGAATGTTGAAACATAGGAGGGGACGTAAGGGCCTGCGGACGCCTGCAGGACTACCTTGGGTCTCCTAGATGAATGCCTGCAACCGACCTCTCGATCAGCCACGACCAGCTCCAAAATCTGCACAGAAAGTGTAGAGTGCAGTATTAGTAGAACCGACCCCATGTACTGGTAAGTGCTGAGCCTAACCTCGACGAGGTAGTGACAAGGCTACGGCGGGGCATTTACAACATATAACCTGCATGCAGTATATAATAAAGCAAAAGGAAGTACGGAACGAAATGGAACAGTAACTTGCAGCAAAATAAATACGGAACTCAATTATCTTGCCAGTACTGAGCTATAACCAATCCTTAAGAGAGTTTCAATGCTATAGAATAAATCACAGCAGAAGATGAATAAATAAACACAAAATGATACGGTGCGTATCCCGATCCCACCATGTAATCAGTAACAATATTAACATCCACCCTTATTGCTCATGTTGCAGCGTGCAACCCGATCCCACCAGTCTACCTTTATTGCTCCTCATTATATCACTCTTATTCCTCTTATTGCTGCGTGCAACCCGATCCCACCTGTCCACCCTTATTACTCTTGTTGCGGCACGCAACCCGATCCCACCAAACAATCACATTTCACCCTCATTTCTCCTCAATATATCACCCTTATTCCTCCTATAGTGGCGTGCAACCCGATCCCACCATATCAGTACCAATCACACAATAAGAACAAGTATTTCACAATTTAGCTCAAACCCTCCATAACCTTTATGCCTCAAACCAAAGCAAACGGAAATCTATACAGTTATGAAGCTTCATCAATTAATACTACACAGCGAGACCAACCAATATGTACCATAAAGCACCGATAAACCGATAATGTGATACGATGAACTACGGAACAATTAATACCTTCATTAAAGAAAACAACATCTAAAGAAGCAATTAAACATGGAGGCATCAATAAGCATGTAGCAGTTAAGACAGAAAAAAAACAATATATTAGGAATGGGGAAGGGAACATGCTAGCATATAATTTGGCGGCGCATAGGTACTCGTCACCTCACCAATACGCCACACACATGGATTTTCACATAGCAATTAAGTCGGGGATCCCTAATCCCTCAAGTCAAAGTTAGACACAACACTTACCTCAATCCAAGTGCCAACTCAAAGCTCAATTATCGCTTTTCCTCTAGTTTCCACCTCCAATCCAGTCGTATCTAGTCATAATTAACTTAATAACATCAATTATTGCTAAAGAAATTAATTCCAATGCATAATTATAAGTTTCCCAACATTTTCCCCAAATAGTCAAAAACTGACCCAGGCCCGCTTGGTCAAAATCAAAATTCGGACCAATACCCGATTACCCATTCACCCCGAGCCCAGATATACAATTAGTTTTGGAATCCGACCTCAATTTGAGGTCTAAATCCCCAAATTTCGAAATTCTTAAGTTCTACCAAAAATCCCCCAGTTCTACCATGAAAACCCTAGATTCTAGGATGAAATCTTGTGAAAAGAAGTAAAAGATTGAAAGAAATGAGTTAAGAATCATTTACCTATGATTTGAGGAAGAAAAAGCCTTTGGAAAATCACATCTCGTGTACTAGGTTTTGAAAAATGGGAGAATAAATGAAAAATCCCGTCTAAGTCCAAGCTTATCAGCTCCATAAATGAAAAATCCCCTCGCATATCTGCTGCCTTTGCAAATGCGAAGTCCCAGTTGCAAATGCGAACCTGGACTTCCACAAATGTGGCCTTTTCTTCGCAATTGCGAACTACCCTGTCACGACCCCAAACCGATGGGCCGTGACGGGCACGGGCACCCGGTACCTTACTCAATCGAGTACCAACATAACGTATCTTTTCATGTCATACTATCATAGATAACTGAGCCGGAAGGCTGCCGTGAGATAAGTAGAATACAACATGTGATACCAACTTATACATAAGACGTACGGGTCTATAAGGCCAAAATGACCACTCGTACACTGAATATAGGCCGACAAGGCCATACAATCATTTACGTACATGACATCTGTCTACAAGCCTCTAAGAAAACATAATTTTCATAAAGGTCGGGACAGAGTCCCGCCACACCATACAATACACATCTAAATCATACTAACCAAACAAGCAACTCCGAAGCAAATGGAGCGCACCAACATCTTCCGCTGAGCTGATAGCCTACTTGGAGGGCTCTCGACCTGTCTATCGGGACCTGCGGGCATGAAATGCATCGTCCCCGAACAAAAGGGACGTCAGTACGAATAATGTACTGAGTATGTAAGGCACATAAATAAGTACATAAAAGACATGGAAGAAATATAGAGTAAATGACTCAACCTGTAAGTCTGGATAATTCTGTAAATCATGAAATACTTATAGTGTCATGCATATGCATATGAATTTCATGTCGTGCATAGGTACATGTGTTCATAACATCATCAAGCCTCTGAGGCATCCCATCATAACGTCTCGGCCACTGTGGGCAAAATCATCAACGTATACCAACAGATCAGGTGGTGGTGCGTATATAACGACGTAACCTTTTTCCCATATCCCATATACATATACATACATATATACGCATATATAACGCCATATGGTTATGGGTCAATGTACATGTATAAATAAATGCAATGCATGAGAAATACATCAATAAAATCTTTCGGAGTGTCATAAAACCATTTTGCCTTTGATTAATATCATGAAGTAAACCTTTTCAACTTACGTATTTTTCTGAGACCCATGAACAGATGATAAAATATTAGGTTACATGGGAATTCAAGAACATAGATACCTCTAATACTTCTATGAATATAGTCATTTATGGAAGTTGTGCATTTACACGTTTTGTTTGAGTCGTATAGATCATGCCAAAAGAAAGAAGGGATAGCCTTAACATATCTGATCCGATTCTCTTGACAATACTTCCTACACATGTCAATTTTGACAACACGTAACGGCGGATCGAGTAGGGTAAAATCCGTACGATGTTCTTGAGAAAGATTGTACCGTGCCCTCTTAGAATTGCAAATCCCGTTGCTATTACGCACTGTAACTTTGTATGAAAATTTTGCCCAAAATCCGTCACTTTGCTTAAATAAACTCACGTTTCTTTGTGATCAGTTAGAACTCTTAGAGAGTCTTTGAATGCCAAGCTTCATCCGTAATCTTTTGGCAAATTTATGTACTTTCTCTTCGTTATGCATAACCATCCTCGTAAGCCACCAATTCCTCTACACATGCCACATGGTATATAAATGAGTAGTCATAATTTGGACTTTATATGCCTGCCGCATCATGCTTAAGAATTATCCAAATCATTATTAATTACCAATTTCTTAATTAACTTAGTAATTCCCCACTAATTTAATAATTAACTAATTATCCACATAATTAAGAATTATCTCAAATTACTTAAAATATCACTCACTTTTAACACACCTTATACACCTCACTATCATGGTCATACGGTACCTTGTATGGTACTAGTCCATAAATATCGGGTATTATAGCTCGGACCGTATTTTATCCCAAATTGTTAAACTTCGCTGAGACTCATTTTCTTCGATTCACTTACCCTCTCACCTTCACGAATTTTCTTATCACTTGTTTGAAATAGCATGATGCTTATAATCCTAAAATAAATCTCATTACCAAACTTACGTCGATTAACTTACGACGAAGCTTTAACGTACGAAAATGCGGAATGTAATATCTCATTTTCGGACTTTCATCAATTTACTTATGTCGTACTTTCACGTACGAAAACGTGGGGTGTAACATCATTCACCCCTTTGGAACATTCGTCCTCGAATGCTGACTGATGCACTTATCATTCTTATAACGCATAGCTCTTGTGAGTACTTTAATACTCTTCTAGCCATTTAGGCAACTATTCTTTGAATAAATCCAAAGGCCAAGGCATTCCCCCTTTAGGTCTCTTTCTCACACTGTGACTTGTGGTCGGAATTCTTTCAATCTCGTAACTGTTGCTACCTTCGGTTACGCAGCCTATATGATTTGTTCCTTGTATGTGTGCCAATCTCTAGGCCTCACTTTGGGAACATATACAGAGCTTGATAAAATGTGCCTCTAGGCATCTGTAGGTATACTGAAGTTCTTCGCTCGGTACTTTGTCGAACTTACGAATATTGCTATACCTTATTTCGTAGATCCGTTTATCCATCCGTATGACTTTATTGCATCCAGGTAGGTCATACTATACCATAACTCTTACTTCGATTTATCGTTACTGAGGTCTTATGTAACACTGCTGCTAGGGCTCACGTCGCATCGAGGAACATTTGAAATGATTAGACTGGTCCACCTGGGGCGATACCATGCTTTCATAGCCGTATCTCACAGCATCCCAATGTGATTCACCTTGCGTGGGCATTTTTATCCTGTCCAATTCATGAGATCCCTTTCTTTTCTTCGTGAGATCATTACTCAATCGAAGGCCCAAACGGCATCCTTTATCTATCACAATTACACCCTCTTTCTATTACCAGGGCAGCATTCCATATCTTCTAAATTTTATTAGTCTAAGACTCCTTTGAGTTCATTCAGGCTATAGTGAGCTTTGTATAAATTAGAGAAACCATCTTCTCTTCTTGTTTTTATGGGCTTAATCCTCGGGAC